CTGTACATTTTTTTTAAAAGTTTGTTGAAAAGAATATTGTCTTATTCTATAAAACATTTCAAACCTAGTTAGATATTTGTAATCAAAAAAACATTTGCGCAGAAAGCAGCACTCAGGGCTGCCTGTCCCGCACCCTGCAGTTGGACAGGAAAAGAAGCAAAACTGGGGCCATCGGAAGTTCTGTTCTGCCGGCAGGGAGACTGCGTGGGGGCTTCTCCCTAGAGAGGGCAGGCAGGCGTGGGGGCGGAGGGAGAGCTTGTGACTGGGGCAGTGAAAATAAACGATTGGCTCTTATCAATCACCCGCACCAACCAACAGTTTGTATTTTCTTTACTGACCTTTCCCTCTTGGGATATCTGGTCTGGTGGGCTGGAAGGCAGAAGTGTCCCTATCTCCACTTTGCAGTACCTTCTGCCCTGTGGCTGAGGCATGGAGCCGGCCTGGTGGGTGGCTCTGTTAACACAGAATTCCCGGGACAGGCAGGCGTGGAGGCTGGTCTTGATTGCAGAGCAGAGTAGCTTGCCCTTCTCTGTACCCAGTACCCAGCAGTGAATGTCCTCAAAACCAGGGCAGCCAGTGGGATCGCAGCCCTCAGTGGGCTGATGTGGTCTGCCCGGCTCTAGTCTCTTGTCTTCCAAGGTTGAAGCAGATGGGAGGTCTGTAAAATCACCTCATCGGAGTGTTTGTCCTTGTACAGTGCGAGAGAAGGAACGTTTCTCAGGGTTTCAGCTCACACAGAAACGCAGCAGGATTCTTTCATTGCGGCGGGCTATGTATATATGCGAATCCTGTGGTGTGGGCTACAATACAGGCCCAGGTGCTGAGAATAGCAACTATTTTATACAGTATGGGGGGGCGGGGGGGGGCATCTGCCCTGCTGGGTTTTTTTTGATACACAGGTAGAGGATAGAAAAGGGGAAGGTGAGGGCTGGGAGGCAGCTCAGTGGGGCTGCTGAAATTGGGGCAGGTGTGATTGAGTGTGTGTAAATGTGTGCATGAAAATGTGTGCTTCTTCAGACAGGATTCTCCCTGGGGTGCTTTTCCTGTGTGTCCCTCAGAGAGGCCTCTAGCCACGTTGCTGTGAGACTCCAGTTGGGATAGTTCTGTTGTAATTTTACTAACACCCTCCAAGTTCTTGAACAACTTTAGGTTCCTGAGTTCAAGACTGGGGGAGGGGGCTGTGGAAATGCTATTGCAATATTCAGCTTCACGTTTCATTCATCTTCCTGCTCAGCATTGTGCCAGCCAAGCGCTTACTCAGCCAGCACCACGTGCTGAAGCACTGCCGGGTGAGAGAATTTGCCGAGGTCCTTTCCTCACCTGGGCTCTCTCCAAAGCTTAGTCCTGAGAGTTTACCTCCGTGTCCACTCCCCACTGTTGCTGCCATAGGGCCCCCATGCTGGCCCATGTGCCGTTTACCTGTCTCTTAGGACCCACCTTCTCCACAGTCCCGCCGACCCCTGGGCCAGGATCAGGGGAGGCTGACGGGAGATGAATTTCCTGCTCATAATGATGTCATTCCTTGTGACACCTGTGTCCTGGCAGGACCGTCCAGTGCAGTCTGCATGTGGCGGTGGGTGAAGTGAATGCGTGGAAGTTTCTGTAACCCACTAACTTGTTCTTAAGGGAGAAGAAAGCATTGCTTGTAATGTCAGGGCAAAGTGGTAAAAACTGGAGCCCGGAGAAATCCCTTTGGACAAGATTATGCTATTAAAAATTGAATTTCCTAAGGTGGAGGCTACCATCCCTTGATAAATGTTTTTGTCTTCCACAAAACATTTTTTATCTTTTTTTAAAATAGGCTCTGACAGGTAGGGATATAGGAACCTTCAAGGCCAAGAGAATAAAGTTTAAACTACTTTGGTTATTGGGGGAGGTACTTTGTTATTAATTAATGAAACTAGGCAGTCTTTTTTTAAATAAAGGCTTTCCCCAGCTTTTACACACACACACACACACACACACACACACACACACGCCCCCGGTGGGTGGAGAATGAAACTGCCCCAGTCCTGGTTGATTCCAAGAGATGATTCTGAGCGGCAGTAATGTCTGGGTTTTGTTTCTGTGTATCTTTTTATTATAAAAACAATGTCATGGGGAGGGCAGCGTGTGGATTGTGGTCACAGGAGGGATCCCTAGCCTTGTTTTCCTTAGAAGACTCGTTTAGTGTTTTATCAGACGTCTATTGTAGTTGTAGATGGAACTGCTTGTGAGAAAAACACTTGAAGCCTGTAACTGTTTTTATAAAACCTGTAAAGCATTCTTGGAAGTGGCCAGTAAAAAAAAAGGGGTTTACCATTTTAAAAAAAAATGTAACTTGTGTCATTGTTTACATCTGTAATTTCTCTCCCTCCTCATTAAACCTTTGGCGAAAATGTAGGCACAGTAGCTTCCATTTTTAGAATAAATAACCATTTGGATCGAATTCACCCTCTCCTGTGGCTGCACTGACTGGGGTGGAGCGTGTCACTGGGGGATTGGTGGGGATTTTTTGGGTTTGATTTGGTTTTGAATTCTGAAGTCACATTGCGTCCAGCCAGGGATGGCTTCCCTCTTGTGTGGCTGCTTATCTCTTCCGTTTCTACCTGCCAGGCCTTCATTGAGGAGGCAAAGTCACGGGGTGGTAGGCTTTTGAATTCTTACTTATGCTAAGAATTGTTGCTTGCCTTCAAGTCGAACGTGACTCATAGCGACCTTATGAACAAGAGGCCTGAAGCCCCTCTACAACTATCGACATTTATCAAAGTTCATAGAGTTTCCAGAGGCATACTATTAGGAAGTAGATGCCCCTTCTGCTTCCAGAACAGGACATAAATGATAACTCATGAACATCGTTGTAAACAGAGCTTCTGCTGAGATCTGTTGGATGCTTGAAATTAATCATCAAGTTCTTTTTATTAAGCCACATAAATTAATCCATGAATAATTCCAATTTATGAGAAAAAATCCACACAATTTATGAGAAAAAATATATTTGATTGGAGTTACTTTCTAGTGACTGGAGAATGAGGACAATTTTTAAAAAAACCACACACCAACACCAACCCCACTGTTCCTACCATTCTACTGAACTTCATTGCTGTGGGAAGCTGATGATCAAATTTAATATTAATAATAAATGCTATATTAAGATATGAGGGAGGCTGATGTTCTTGTTAAGTGCCATCGAGTCACAGGCGACTCATAGCGACCCTATGAAGGATAGTCCTCAGCGCTTGGGTGCCTTTCATCCTTTCTCCAAGTTCATAGCGTTTCCGTAGGTAAGCTGTTATGGAAGTGGATGCCACTCCTGCTTCCAAGCTTGTTTTAATCGGGGAGCTCCACTCCACTCTCTGTCTGCATTGAGTAACCAACCATTAACACATTTGACACATCAGTGTCAGTGTTCAGCCTCACAGCAACCACAAGTGACCGCTGTACGGCAACTTGTACACCAGGTCTGTACAACCAAATGCTGCTGTATTAGGAGAAAGGCTGATATAAACTGAAATTAACCCTGTAGTATAAGTCAATCTTTAATGTTTACCGGGTAGGCACTAAGGCAATCCTTAGGTGTCTTACATAAGTCTTCTTTTGTATTTACTGAATCCCTTCCTCCCTCCTGAGATAAGCATAAGGTAAACAGAAAAGATTTAGCCTTATTTGCAAAAGATTTTTGTGATTTACTTCCCCATGATCCTATCCTTTGTTTTTGTTTACTACTCTTTTGTGATTTTCCTTTGTTTACTTCCTGGTGCTTCTCCATAAAACCGCAGAAAGACCTAGCATAGGGGCTGCAGTTCTCCCAGCTGTTATCCCTCTGTCTTCACACTTTCTGGCCTGACCTTTTTTCCTGAGTGTGCCCATCTCTTTTACCTTGGCCGACAACACATTGCAGTTTTTAGTGAATGTCTTATAAATTGGGATGCTATGTCCAGTCTTTAGAAGTGTTACTCAACCTCCTTTTTGTACACAACAGAGATCCAGATGTCAAGGACTCAAGCTTTATTCCCAAAAGGCCATTGTTGGTTTTTGCTGCTGCTGTGTGTGTTCAAGTTGGAACCAATTAATAGCTGACTTCTGGAGGGTTTTCACAGGCGACAGCACACAGGAGATGCCCATCTTCCTCCAGCAGAGCAGCTGGTCCATACGAACCACCTGCCTTTGGGTTGGCAACATAACCTTTCCCACTAAGCCCTCAGTGCTCCTTCCCTAGAACACATAAAATCACTCAGTATTGGAACCGATCATTTTTATTGTTTATGGTTATTTATACGCCTTATCTCTCATTTCCAAAACCCTTTCCCTACCAAGTAAAGCCATAACCATTCACCCTGCACCTGGCGAGTATGAAAATTTGAGTGTGTAGAGAAACTGGCTTTAAAAAAAAAACCCTTTTAACACCAAGGTAACATTTTTTGAGCACATCTGGCTTTTTAAACCGAGTCTAAACTGAGATGGGAGGTTTCCCGTACCCACCTGGATATTAGCCAGCATGGTGGTGCAGGAGAGAAAGTCAAGGTTCTTGGGCTCCGCTCGGCGAAGGCTTTGGCCTTTTCGGCATGCCGGGTCTAACATAAGTATTCGAGGAGCCTGTGAGGTACCGGATGCTGTCAGGGTTCAGAGAGTAAAACAGACCTGTTCCTTCTTGAAAGTTCCAAGTGCTAAAAAGGAAATAAACAGCCCCCTGAACCGATTGGGGTAGATCCCCACTGCAGAAAGAAGCCAAGTGACTTCTCACTGTTGTTGTCACATGTACTTTTGAATCTGAAGGGACCCTCAGGTGGGTTTTCAGAGGCGGTGAATGAGACGGGAGGAAACTGCCCATCTTTCTCCCCTGGAGCATCTAGCATATTTGAACCCTGTGCCTTTGGGGTTGCAGTGCCACTTCTTAACCACTAGACCGCCCGAGCTCCCTTCATTAACTCTAGGATGAGGGAATTTACAAGATGATCCGATCAAAACTTTCTGCTCCCCGAGTTGGTGGAAAACGCTAAGGAGGCTCATAAGGCTTAAATAAAGATGGAGTTGTAACTCTAAAAA